ACATTATTTAAAAAACACATAAATAAATAAATAAATAAATATGTAGTATTTTTTTTGGAGTGGGTTTGAATTTGTGGTAAATATTGGCAATGAAAATCACTTATGAGTCAGGCTTGGTGGTATATGACTTTAATCTCAGCACTTTGGTAACAGAGACAGGTGGATCTCTGTGAGTTCAAGGCCAGCCTGGTCTACAAAATGAGTTTCAGGACAGCCAGGGCTATGTTAGGAAACCCTATCTCAAAAAACAAAAGAAAGAAAGGAAGGAAGGAAGGAAGGAGAAACTTATTTACCTTCTCATCCTGTTTCCATTTTCCTCATTTTTTTTTCATAAAATGATGCTTACACTATAGCAAATAGCACAATGCTCATGGAAGTCATTTGGATAAATTAGAGTTTCTGTGATAATGAGAGCTCTTATCCAGAGAGACTGGTAGGGGAGTGTGTAGCGCCAGTGCTTTGGCAACGGACAGTCCTTAATTAGAATCCTTTCATTTGGGCAAGCTAGTCAGTCTCCATAGGTGTTTCCAGTTTGTAAAACACAAGATTGTTGAAACATGGAAAGACTAGACTTGAGGCGGCTGACCCAAAATATGCCACTAATTAATGGAAACCATCAATGTAGCCATCAATTATTAAATAAAGATGCAGAGTTGTGAAGTTCAGAGTACCAAGGCTAATTGTCTAAGACAGGTGACTAATTAACTTTGAATTCTAGGAAAAGCCTGTATAGAAATGAGCTGCTTTGAGACACCATGCACCCTGCTCTTCTATACTCAACAGAAGCTAACTCTGCAAAAATTATCCTCATGCACACCACACCTTGAGGAAAGTGGGAGAAAGTTTTCCTTCTCTTTAGACACCCTGCCTGAGTCTATGTCTTCTGTGTCTGTAGGGATTTGGTCACTGCTAGGACATCCAGACTTTCCTTTCCATTTGAAGGCTCTGAGATGGTTGTAATGTCCAAGAAATCATTTCTAATACTTTTAGCAGTATTTTTATCTTTTAACATTGGGTGTCCTGTATCCTGGTGACCTTGAACTTCTGACCACAGTGTTTCCACCTCTCAAGAGTTAGGATTATAGGTGTGTGCCACTACATTGAGTCTATGTAGTGCTGAGGATAAAACCCATGCTAGGCAAGCACTCTACCAACTGAACTACATCTCCAGCCATATCTCTGTTGGTGTGTAATTATACTGCTGTGGTTCAAACCCAGGACCTTGCATATGCTAAGCAAGTGTCATACTAACTGAGCCATCTCTGCAGTCCTGTACTAAATTTTTCTTTAGATTTAATTTAATTTTGTGTGTATGAGTGTTTTGCTTGCGTGTATGTGCACCACATCCATATCTGGAATCCACAGAAGAAGGCACGAGAACCCTGGGAACCAGTACTACTGTGGATGATTGTGAGCTAAGACATTGGGAATGGAACCTTGTTCCTTTACAAGAACAACCAGTGCTCTTAACTGCCATCTTCCCAGTACACCCTCATTTTTGTTTTAAACTAGATTTTCTTTTAAACTTGTTTGTTTTGAGACAGGGTCTCACTATGTGTCCCTGGCTGGCCTCGAACTAACAGAGACCTACTTGTCTCTTTTTCTGAAGAGTTGGGATTAAAGGCATACGCCACTATGCCTGACAAAATCCCCCCCCCCTCAAGACAGGGTTTCTCTGTGTAGCTTTGTAGACCAGGCTGACCTTGAACTTACAGAATTTGGCCTGCCTCTGCCTCCCAAGTGCTGGGATTAAAGGCATACACCAGCCCCCCTCCCCCAGCTGCCTGACTACTTTTTAAATAATAATTTTAAAATGTTGTGTGTGGGTGTGCACATCTGCGTAGAGGTCAGGGGATAATTTGTCAGAGTTGTTTCTACCATGAGAGTCCCAGGAACTAAACTCAGGTCCATAGTCTTGATGACAAGCACTTTTACCTGCTGATTCATCTTGCCCGCTCAATTTTTTTTTTAATATACAGAAAATCCTAGTGTGCAATAATTCCTTACCACACAGAGATTCTAATCTCTTTGCCTAGGAACCACTAGTATAAGTCACCAATTATCAATCTCATTCAACATAAATTTTGCCCTTACCTTGTGCTATGCATTGTTCTAAGTACCTTAGGCACATGCTCTCATATCAGCCACACCCCCCTACTCTCATTTTAAATGGTATCTCCTCAAAGAAGCCATCCTTTATCCAAGTTGACCTTGTCTCCACCTTTCCATTATTCTCTATCATTTCATCCTGTTTATTTCCTTTGGAATACTGATCACTATAAGCAATTAGTTACTGATTTCACTACCTGTTTGCTACTGTCCCTCCAGCCAGACTAAGAACTTTGAGAGCAAGGGCATTGTTGATTTGGCTTTTCTCACTATATCCAGGATCAAGGACAGTGGCTTGCTGTTTGGCACAGAGGCATGGTGAATTGATTATTTATTGAATAAAATGGCAGTATGAAGTATATGCTATCATTTTCTTCATTACTCCGATGTGAAAAGTGGGGGCTAGAGAGGAAAATGAACTCATACCAAACCTAGTAATTTATAAAACTGTTTGAAAAATCCCTTCTCCTTGACCCCAGAGTACAGCTATTTACTTCTCTGGCCCCAGAAGCAAACCCCTGGGCTGCTGCTGTTGTGTGCGTTTTTAAGGCTCTTTGTCTCTCTGGAACTCTCCTTTTCATTGAAAAACGAGAGGTAGAGTTAGCCATCTTCTTTAGAGCAATACTTTGCGATTTATAGTATCTGTGACTGAAGGAGATCAATGAAGGGATAGGGATTGTAAAGACTGGCCTGAAGCCTTTGAGAGTACGGATCTTAGTGATCACGGTATCTCCCCTGCCAGGTAAGCCAGGCATTGGTACCGCACACCTTTAATCCCAGCACTTGTGAGACAGAGGCAGATGGATCTCTGAGGGTTCGAGGCCAGTCTGGTCTACAGTTCCAGGACAGGATCCAAAGCTACAAAGAAACCCTGTCAAAAAAAAAAAAAAAAAAAAAAAAAAAAAAAAAAAAACACCCCCCCCCCCAAAGTACCGATCTTGGGGCTGGAGAGATGGTTCAGCAGTTAAGAGTGTGACTGCTCTCACAGAGAATCCAGGTTAAATTCTCTGTGTCATGTCATTGATATGTCCCTTCAGGCATCTATGGTCATGAGCATGTACATGCACATGTGCCCCCACACAAATGTAATTTTAAAAATAAAAATAAAAAAAAACACCCCTGGAGGTGGTGGTGCAAGCCTTTAACCCCAGCTCTTGGGAGAGGCAGGTGGATCTCTGAGTTGGAGACCAGCCTGGTTTACAGAGGGAGTTCCAGGACAGCCAGGGCTGTTACACAGAGAGACCCTGCTTACTGATCTTCATTCCTCTTTCTTCTTTCCTTCACTAAAGATCTGCTGGTTGTATTTTATGTGTTGGCTGTAATGGGGGTTCAAAGACTCATGGAACATAGACCTTGGCATTACAGCTGCTAGACAGTACCCTAGAGTCAGTACTGTAATGGTGACATATGCAAGGAACATGCTTACACAGAGGACTATGGGGTTAATTCCATAGTTAGTTCAGATGTGTATGTGTTGATTGGAGTGGTGATGAGTATGCATTTGTGTGTTGGGGAGGGGTACAATGTTGACCTGGGCCTTAAGGAAAGGACAGTTCTCCAGATGGACAAGCTAACATTGAGGCTCCCTGGACATGCAGAAAGAGCAAGGACAGTTCAGACTGTAAAGGCAAGCAGTCAGCTACCAAGCTAGTGAAGCAGAAGGAAACCCTAAAATGTTTTGCTCCTACTCTTTTTGACTTCTCCTCTTGGATATGGCCATAACCTTTCACTTGAGTTTTAGAAAGCTCATTGGCTTCGATCTAACTGGAAGTGTGTGATGAGGCAAAAAGGTGTGAAGACCAAGGAAGCTTGGCAGTGTTCAGATGATTCACCAGGTCTTAGCCTTAGGTGTTTGTAGTATTTGGAGAGGAAGCAAACAGGTTACAGGTTTTTGAAGGTACAACTTCAGGATTTGGTGAGTGAATGGTCAGTGGAGAGCAGGGACTTATCAGAATGGATTGGTACCCTAGTTAAAACGTTACCATTTAGAAATAAAGGAAATGAATAGAGTCCAGTGGTAGAGGTACTTCTGTTGGTTTTTGGATATTCAGTTTGAAGTGTAGCTTAAGAGAGAAAGGAGGAAAGGTCTGTAAGAGAGCCAAGAGTCCAGCACCCAATTCTTCCCTGCCCCAAGAGCTGTCCTAGCTTATGTCAGTCATCCTTGGGCACCAGGAGTCAAATTCTCAGAGAGCCTCACTAGCATTTCTGAGCTTGACTTCTATCAATGATAACAGCAGCCTATGGAAAACTTCCTGGGCTCCCACTGATAAAAGCACGGATTGTGGACTACATGTTTGTATCAGACACTGGCTTTTGCGAGCACCAGATTACAGAAAAACAAAAACAAACAAACAAACAAACAACAACAAAAACCATTTCCATGGAGCCTTCTTTGGTCCTGGCAGGCTCTGGCTCTATCTAGGCTGGCTCCCAAGAGTAACACCCCCCCCTTAGGGAGTTGATTTTTAAAAAGGAAATGGGGTTGTATAACGTTCACCCTGGTTCCCCTTGACAACTGGAGAAAACCCTGAGTTTGGGCGGTTGGACCCACTAGCCCTGATCCTTTAAAAATGATGGGATTGGAATCATCTATCTCAGCTCGAATATCCAGCGGTCACCAGGCGGTGGCAGGGTCGAGCAGGTGGACTCATGGGGGGGGGGGCTGTTTCCAGGGTCCTCTTAGGGAAGACTACCCTGGAGTAAAGAAGCAGGCACTCCATCCCTGCCCTGGCTACCTCCCTGATACTTATAGCCTAGGGCTGAAGGCAGGGGCACGCCCTGTGTCCTACACCCCTGTCCCTGGGATGCTATCAGAAGCCTCTTCATTTCTCCACTCTCTCTCCTCACGGCACTAAACCCCACTGTCATGCCTATAAATCCCAAGAGCAAAGGGCAGCACGATTCCTCCCGCGCCCCTGCGGGCTGAAGGCCGGCACTAAAGCAGTGCAGTTCCAAGCTTCCCCTGCAGAAGCCACGCTCCTGACTTGGTCCGGGGATAGAGGGGGCGCGAGAGAGCAAGTGGGCGGGCGTCCCATCCTCCGCATCCTCCTCCAAGTCCTGGCGCGCAGGGAGGGAGCGCTGCGCTGCGCCGGGCTGCGCATCGCGGCCCACTTGCCGCCTGTCCCCTGCCCTGGCTGGGCCACCTCCCCGGGCTGCCGGTGGAGGGCTTCAAGGCGCTAACGTTACGCTGTTTCCGGTTTTCCAGAGGGCTCTGTTTCCCCTCCCAAGGCGGCGGCGGCTGAGCGGCGGAGCCCCCCAAATGGCCTGGCCAGATGCGGCAGGTTTGCTGCTCAGCGCTGCCGCCGCCACTGGAGAAGGCTCGGTGCAGCAGCTACAGCTACAGCTACAGCGACAGCAGCAGCAGCAGCAGAAGCAGCAGCAGCAGCGGCGAGAGCGGCGGCGGCAGCAGCAGCAGCAGCAGCAGCAGCATCTCCCGTCCCGCTGCGCCCCCAGAGCCGCGGCCGCAGCCACAGCCGCAGCCCCGCAGCCCCGCAGCCCCGAGAGCCGCCGCCCGCTCGCGAGCCGCAGCCGCCGGCGGCATGAGGCGCGACCCGGCCCCCGGCTTCTCGATGCTGCTCTTCGGTGTGTCGCTCGCCTGCTACTCGCCCAGCCTCAAGTCGGTGCAGGACCAGGCGTACAAGGCACCCGTGGTGGTGGAGGGCAAGGTACAGGGACTGGCCCCGGTAGGCGGCTCCAGCTCTAACAGCACCCGCGAGCCGCCCGCCTCGGGTCGGGTGGCGCTGGTGAAGGTGCTGGACAAGTGGCCGCTCCGGAGCGGGGGGCTGCAGCGCGAGCAGGTGATCAGCGTGGGCTCCTGTGTGCCGCTCGAAAGGAACCAGCGCTACATCTTTTTCCTGGAGCCCACTGAACAGCCCTTAGTTTTTAAGACGGCCTTTGCCCCGGTCGACCCTAACGGCAAAAACATCAAGAAAGAGGTGGGCAAGATCCTGTGCACTGACTGCGGTGAGTCGCCCCCTCCTTCTGCTGGAGAAAGGGGGGAGGAGGGAGGCGGTGGAGGATGGGGGTGGGGCGGAGAGGTGCCGCAGGTGCCCAGGCCTGGCAGCGCTCGGCCGCCGGGGGGGTGGGGCCGCCCTGGACAGGGCGCCGGTCGCGGGTGGGTGAGGGTGTGGGCTAGGGGAGAAGGAGATTCGGGCTCAAAGTGTGTGCTACGGGCGAGGGCTGGTGGGGAGGCGCTGGCCTGTGCCAACAGGGATCTGCGGCTGATGTATGGCATGTGGGGCTGGAAAGCTGCCATCATAGCCCAGTAGCGGAAGGGAAAACGGTGAGGTCCGGGCGGCGCTGGCCTCAGGCTCAGTGAGTCAGGAGTGACCCTCGGAGGCCTCGCCCGCTGCGCTCCCGGGGGCCTGCCTTGGCCAGGCTGGCAGGGGCTACAGGAGCAGCTGGGCAGACTCCCAGGCGTGAAGGCCTCCGCTTCCAAGTTCTCCTAGGGAATGATCGCCCCCGCCCCCTCCTTCCTCTCCCGGCTGGTGGCTCTGCTCATCCACACCGCTGGCGCAGGCAGAGTTGGACTTTTTCTGCTACTGTTTTCCGTTCTCTGTGTGGCTCTGGGCTTCCCCCCCCCCCCTCCGGCGTGCTTCTCCTGTCTTTGCTAATCCAGTAGCTCAACCTTACTTTTTAACCCCCAGAACCAGCGAGCAGGCGCTCTTTTAGCAGTTTGTGAAGTATCTCACCTGGTCTTGATGGTGGTGGTAGAGATGAGGGAGAAACTTGTGTTTACTGAATGTTAGAAGTTCAGCTCTAACATCTTCCTGGCGGGATGTATTGACCGCATCTATCTTCACAATGTTGGGTGCTGTACAGGAATGCTGGTGGTTATAAATGCAAGCCTGCACATCTGTGTGACCCCAGGGTGAAGGTCTCCTATTTGGAAGTCAAAACGTTTTCTTATTGACTCTAAGTCCCAATGGTTTCTCAATAAGATATTACTTTAAAGGGCGAATCTGCGGTGTTTAGTGTAACCCAGAACTGTTGGATCCCTGAATTGTGATAGGTCTCCTCAACTCTCATAGAAGTAGATGTACTTACCAATTTATCAACTGCACTTGTGAGTGTAGACAAGCTCAAGTAACAATAAATAATAATAATAATGATAATAATAATAATAATGTGTAACAGCTATCTGGAAAATCTGCTTTCATCTTCCTAGAGCAATCAATGCTTTTGGCTTTTGGAAGCTTCCCTCCCCCTACTCCTATAAGAGGCAAATTTTAGGCAGTTAGTTGTGGGAGTGTATCTAAGCACTGAGCTAAACCCTGATCCCTTTAACGAGAAGAATCTTGAACATTGGGGAATGACAGCAGTTTACAGTTCAGATATTATTCCAAGCAATATTATTGTCTGCTTTTTAATTTGGGTTTTATGCTCTGAAAAGTTTTATGACAACAAGCTGAGGCCAGCTAAGAATTTCTCTCTCTCCTCTTTTTTAATTCTATTAAGTATTTTATCTGAGATCCCTTGGGGAATTGTGGAACTAACTGTGCAGGGGGAGGCAGACTGTAAAAACATGTATTGAACCTTGCCCAAGGACAGCTTTTGTTTGGGTTGTTGCTGAATGGCCCCTGAATATGCACAGTGCATGTCTCCACATGATCCCTCCTCCGCAGGGTCACCCAGGGCTGATTGCTGTTGTCAGCCACTAACCTAGCAGCCCTCCCTGCCCTTTGTTCCCTGTGGTGTCTACTTCCTTGCACCTTGGTTGTTAGAGTGAGCATTCAATAGTTTCAACAGTTGAATGCAGAGATCATGAAAGATTTGAGGTCATAAATAATACTCCACTGTTAGACGATGGGCATCTCATATTATTTATGTGTAGAATAGTTCTTGCAGAGATAAATTTAGGATTATAATCACTTGTAAAGGGAAGGCCCTCACACATCATAAATTATCGAGGAGCAGGAATGAGTATGGTAGTAAATGTTTTAGACTACAAAAAAAAATGCCTTGGATGATAGTGTATAGATAGGCATCATAGGAGTTTATATAAGAGGATTAGAAACTAAAGGGCATTTTTGTGTGTGTGTGTGTGTGTATGTGTGTGTGTATGTGTGTGTGTGTATGTGTGTGTGTGTAGACTTATGGAATTGGAGATAATATGACAGAAGAATATAAACTATATTTTCTTATTTTCTATTATTCGGTTAAAGAAACCATGTATTGCAATGACTTATTAAATGAGGAAACAAAGTCAGCCTAACTAACCACAACACCTTCCTTGTGCTCAGCAGGAAATAGCTAACACATTCATTTTCTGTTTTCTATTCTAAAGAAAGCCCTGTGGGCCACAGGGTCATTGGGAACATTCTCTCCTTGGAGCAGATTTGCCCATTGCAAAATAGGGAAGCTGGCACTTGGAAACTGTCATTGTGGCCATTATATTGAGCAACTTGAGTTGAATTGTTACTTTGTTCAGCTAGTTTTAGCTTTGAGCTGTCTGGGCTACAGAGGTGTGTAGTTCCTGGGGAGGTCTTCTAGAAACTGTATTTTCAGGGAGGGGACTTAGGACTGATATGCCATATGGAAGGATATATTGAGGTTAAAAGCACATGCCTCAGTCACATCCACCCAAGGATCATACTAGATCCCTTCTAAAAGATCCTCAGAATGGCTAGTTGCAACTGTGAAGTGTGGCCTGAGAGTCTGTGATCTAAGGAAGAGTGGTATCTGGAAGGATCTCTCTGGAAGACCCTATGCTAAGGAGCAGGCATCTTTTATAGATCCAATGTATAGCATTTAATCAAAACGACTACCTCTAGTGGTAAAGAGGGAAATCTTTGCATTTCTAAGAAATTTGCATATATGGAGATATTTTCTGAGCCTTCTGTGGAAAGGAGAGGTAGAGCTACAAAAGCCTTATAGGAATGGCATAACTCTCAGCCACGCTGCAAGCGAGTCTCATTCTTTACATAGTGCTGTACTCTAAGAGGTGGTCGCTCGTATTTGGTGTAATTACACTCCATCTTGTTGCTTTCTCAGATATATGTTTCTAAGCCATTTCCTAATTGGCTATGTTTAGGAGACAGCAGGAAAGAAGAGAGCAGCTTCCTTTGTGACTTGCAGACTTGTAGTTCCCCAGTGTGAGGTGTGCTTCTGGGGACTTGACACCCATCTGGCATCCGGATCCACATATTAGAGGAAGGTGGTTGACAGAACTCAGTAGAGCAAAAGTGGCCGCATATTTTTAAAACGAAGTTTATTTGCAGAATCTTTTCTTTCCCAGCCAGCTGGGAAGCCAGCTGTGCTGCAGCTTGAAGATGGGAAAGTGAAACCAGATTAGAAGCTGACCAGTCCCAGGGCCTGGGTTATATGTTCAGGGACTGCATGCCACCCTAATGCCATTATTTCTTGGGTGGTTGCTTTTCTCTGCAGAGTGCAATTTGTGGGACAGAAATACCATCTTATCTTTGAGATCTTCTTTGTCCTCAACCCTGCCCCCTGGCAGCGTTTGGTACTACGTTTAGATACTCTTTTGAATGGATGAAGTCAAGTTCATAAAAGGAGCTTCTAGATTCATGTTGAAACAATCTCAACTTTCTGATCCGTGACACCAAGTTTTGTTTGGGAAAGCTGAGTCTGACTATAGCCTTTGCTTGTCACAATGGGAACCCATTTTTCCTTTTATTTATTTTTTCTTTTTTTCTCCTCTCCCTTCCAAAGGAGCCTTTATCAATTAAACACTTGTCCACCATATACTTAATCACTATGGTGATTAGTGCTAATGAAATCTGAGAGGAAGGTCTTACTGCAGAAGATGCTTTCTGGGTGTGTGTGTGGGGGGGAGGTAGGCTGCCACACCCCTTCCAAATGTAAATGCAAATTAAAGAACTATTAATTTGATTAGCAAATGTTTTGGGATCTTTCAAGTCTGATTAATAGTCTAAATGACTAACTTCCTCTTAGCTCCTAATCAAAGCATGTGTAACATTCTTACCATCCTTTATTAACCAGAGCTTTTTAATTTTATTCTCTAGCAACAGCTTGTTTTTAAAATGAAGCTGCACTTATGTTTTGTATAAGAAACATATTTTTATGACTCAAAATTCAGCAAATACATCAGAATATAGAGTACAAGTTTTCCCCTCGTCACACCTTCAGCTACCCTGTCCTAAAGCTATCACAGAAATTGTTTAATTTGGAAATGTGTCATTCTCTTAAAAATCATTTTTTCATAGTGTTAGTAGATAGAGAGTGTTAACTGCCATTGAGACAGTTTTATGGCAAATCTTCCCAGGTTACAAACCAACTCCCTGGGTTCTCTTTCTTTTCTGAGTCCTTTTCTGTGTCAAATTATCAGTCAAAGACTTTTCCCCTTTACCTCACAAATGTAATCCTAGGATAAGAAACTAAACTCTCAATTCAGTTTTCAAAAGCTTTGCCGTTAAAACATCCCATGGCCAGGCACAGTGGTGCATACCTTCAATCCCAGCATGGTAAGTTCCAGCCAGCCAAGTCTACATAGTATGCCATTAAAAAAATCAAACAAGCAAACTACGAACACACGCGCACACACACACACACACACACACACACACACACGCACGCACGCACGCACGCACGCACGCACGCACGCGCACACACACGCTCTCCATGACTGCAGGGTTTTTGAGTCTTTACTGGGATGCTAAAGAGAGCCACCCAAAGACTTGTCTCTGAAAGTGAGGGCTGAGGCTCTGCCCATACAACAGCTCTCCGAAGAGTGCCCTATGAGGAATTCCAAGATCCCATGTCTGTGAAGAGTTTGAATTTGACCATACTTGTATGGTGGTGATTCTGGAGGGATTTAGTTACCTGAGAACTGTTAGGATGTCCACTGAGGTAAAGGATTAGGATGTTGGAGAGAATCAGGGAAATACCTTTTGGGTACATAGAGGAGAAAGTAAATATGCAAATATCTAGACAGTGGGACTCCACTCCCTGAATTGGTTTAGTGGCATTTGGTGTTTTAA